GCCCCTAACTTCCCTCCCCTGCTGGCCTGATTGCCCCTAACTGCCTCCCCCTGCTGGCCTGATCGCCCCTAACCGCCTCTGCCTCGGCCCCCGCCACCGTGGCTTTGTCTGGAAGGAAGGCAGGATGACCAGAAGATGTCCAGTTGACCCGGTTTAATTAGCATATTACCCTTTTATTAGTATAGATTTTGGAACAGGTTAATTCTTTTTTAAAAATAAAAATATCTGCCAAGTGAAAATTAAGATAAATTCTTACAAGAAAATACACTCAGATTTTATGACTATGCTTCACAAAAAGTCTTATTTACCAAATACAAAGCCTACGTTACTAATTCTATGTAAGAAATCTAACTTAAATTTAATCTAACTTAAAGAATTAGAATATTTAATTTTTTTTAATCCTCACCTGAGGACATGTTTATTGATTTTAGAGAAAGATAGAAAGAGAGAGACACATCGATCAGTTGCCTCTTATATGAGTCCCAACCGGGCATCGAACACTAAAACCTGGGTATGTGTCCTGACCGGGAATCAAACCCACAACCTTTTGGTCTATAAGACAAGGCTCCAACCAACTGAGCCACCTAGCCAGGGCTAGAATATTTAATTAAAAAATTTAAAATATACTACCTTCATAAATTGTTGGCTCAAAGGTGATTTGACACTGCCTTTCAATTTACCACAAACATGTAATAAAACAACCTTTGACAGGTTTAAAATTTTAAAGACATTTTCATTAATTTTTAGCAGATAAAAAACTCACAAAAAACGTTCCCAAAGTTTATTTTTAGGAAAATTTGTATGTATGCTAAGCCACAGAGAATGTGACAAGAATGACTTACCTAAAAGGGGAAGGAGGACTGGGTAATTGTAAGGCATCACAAATAAGTTGACACAATTCAGTGCTGTACTGGCTTTCAAGTAACCAAAGGGATGACCAAGTTCACTATATTTTGCACTATTGCTCACATATACCTGTTAAAAAGGAGTGGTTAAAACTTATTATTATTATTTTTAATATATTTTATTGAGTTTTTTTACAGTGAGGATGGGAGAGGGATAGAGAGTTAGAAACATCGATGAGAGAAAAACATCGATCAGCTGCCTTCTGCACACCCCCTACTGGGGATGTGCCTGTAACCAAGGTACATGCCGTTTACCAGAATTGAACCTGGGACCCTTCAGTCTGCAGGCCGACGCTCTATCCACTGAGCCAAACTGGTTAGGGCAAAACTTATTATATTTTAATCCTCATCTGAAGATACATTTTTACTGAGTTTGAGAGGAAGGGTGAGGTAAAGGGAGAGGGAGAGAGAGAGAGAGAGGGAGGGAGGGAGGGATATGAGAGAGAGAGAGAGAGAGAGAGAGAAAGAGAGAGAGGGAGACATCAATTCACTGCCTCTCAGATGTGCCTGGATTGGGACTGAACCCGAAACCTGTGTATGTGCCCTGACCAGAAATCAAACTCACAACCTTTTGGTGATGACTTTTCCAACCAAATGAGCCACATTGGCCAGGACAAAACTTCTTATTTTTATGAAGGTTAAAACCTTTACAGAATGTTATATAAACTATTGATTTTATTTAACTTTTTAGGAAACATTTAACTTAAATAATTGTTCAGCTCACCTGCCAACATGTTTGAGGAGATTTCCTTTCCAGGATAAATTGAGTCAGTGGTGAAGGTTCCAACTCGTATTTGTCAAAAGGCAATTTGTCAATAACCATTGGTTCACAGTCTGTACAGGAAAACTTCACTACAGGATGAGATGTACGAGGTGGCTAGAGGGGAAAATCTTATTACTATTTACACAAAATACCAGAAACAAACTCATTTTCAGTATCCCTCATTACCAAAATTTACTTAGTTTCTAAGTTTTGCTAGTCAGAGTTTAATTTACTACAGAAAGCATCATTAGCTGAAAGAAAATACTTGAAAATGCAAAGATTAAATTATAAAATATTCAGAAGAAAAACACAAAACACTTCAAAATCTATATAAAATGGAAATCTTTTTAGGTTTACAATGTAAAATTTTAGACTAAGTACTCATTGAGTTTTATATCTAAGAAACAAGAAACATATAGAAACCTTCAATTTTAAGTCCTCACTTGTAGAAATTTAATTACTTGTATAGAGTAGTGGTTTCCAAACTGATCATATACCTTCAAGTTTTTGAATACACAATTAAGTTAGGACATTATACATATTTATTTTATAATTATTTATAAATTATTAAGTATGTATATATGTATAGGTACATAATAAAAGTTTTAATGTATTCCTTCCCGATTGTGGTAGACTGTTTTGGTTATCCCTGTGGTTTATACACCCTACTTCTAGAGATACAAAAAAATACAATACTTTAAAGGAAAAAAAGGGTGGGAGCATGTTACTCTATTTTCCCCTTAATAGTTTCCTTCCTAAAAATCTCATTGGTCTTTTTTGGGGGTCACATTGAGCTCCAACCAGCTTTAGGGGCATCTTTACAAGTCAGCAACATTGCAGAAGACATCAAGGCCAAAATCAAGATCTACCAGCCTGCCCCTCTGACAGTCACTTCCTCAGCCAGAACTGGAAAGGGAGCTGCTGGCCACCTGGGGGGATATGTCTCCGTATATGAAAGTTACTGGTGACTGTACAAGTACCCCTGTCCCATATCCTGGGTGTCAGCCTAGGACACAACCACCAGGCAGAAGTCATGATTCCTGAGAAGATCTGAACTGGCCCCACACATCTCTCTGTCCTTCATCCTTCTCCCAGGGTGGCGAAGGAAGCCCTGGGTACATGGTGATCCCCATCCTGGGACCTTGAATCATGACTTAACTAATAATAGTTGTTGGAAAATGGGAAATAAAATCTCACCAAATGAAGATCGGTGAAGAAAATATGAGCTATGAAGATATAATTTAAAATTTCATAGCTATAAAGGACTCTCAGCCTCGTTTACTATGTGTACATTGGTGGCTCCCAAATCTGTGTTGGGACCAGATCCCTCTCATTTCTCTTATGTATTCAACAGCCTGCTAGACATAAACTAAATCTCCTATAGGTCCCTCAGATACATTATAATCCAATTTGTTATTTCTCCTCCAAACCACAAAACCTATTCTAAAAACCTAGATATTATCCTTAATATCTTCTATTTATCCTCCATATTTAACTGTCACAAAGATCTAGATAAAGATTCCATAAATTCCAAGCCAGAATACAAACATGGCAGGTGCTCAGTATTTAGTTACTACCCTCGGTCAGTACTAAATTCCCATTTCTCTAGAAATTTACCTTCTATTTCTTATCACTCTAATTCATGCCTTCATTTCTCAGACTAGACTTGTACAACTGCTTATTTTTAACTAGTCTCCCTAATTATTCAGCACCCTCTAAGGCCATGAAATGTATATGATCATGTAATTACCCTACCTGAAAGTATTTGATAAAAGTAATAGCCAATCACCTGAAAATAGGGTCCAGACTCTTTTATCATACACAAAGATCCTTAATGATCTGGTCCCCATCTGCCTTTCAACCACCACACTGTGTACACTCCGTGCTCCTGCCATGCCAAACTATTTGCAACTGCTCAAATAGATCATCTTTCATGTTCCTGTATTTCACATGTTATCCTTGACTGCTTTATTATTTTCTCCCTTGCATATTGCAAATAAAGTTTTGAAGTCTGAACTGGCAAGTATCAACCACTAAAAGACTTCTTTCCTTATACTCATCCCCACCCTGTATCCCAAACACATACCAGGCAATTGGGCACCACCTCCTCTGGGTTCTGGTCTGCTCCCCTATTACAGTTAACACACTGTACTCTACTATGTTTATATGTCTGACCTTCCTATAAAATGGTCAGGTCAACAAGGCGAGCACTACGTTTTATTCATCTCATGCTCCTGTGCCTAAGTTGTACCTAACACATTGCTTATTGAATCAGTCCATGAAACTCACTTGTTTTTTGGATGAAAATATTGAGGTCAAGAGGAAAAGAGAGGCAGAGGGAATCTTCTAGAATTTGGCAAACAAATTTTGCATTATTTCAGTTAATCCCCCAAACAAGCCTATGAGATAGGATCTACTATAATTATTTAACAGATAGGAAATTAAGGTTTCGCTAATAACTGGTAGAGCCATGATTCAAATTCAGAATCAGTCTCTAATAAATCACTTATTTTCAATATCAATACTTTTTATTTGAAATAAAAATTTATTTCCCCTCTAATATCCTTTAGTCACTAAATTTTGCCAGTTCTTCCCATTATCATCTTTCTTATGATTCTTTCTTCTATCATCTTAATCCAAACTCTTAATATCTCTTATATGAACTATAGCAATTGCCCAATAGGAAACCTGACTACCTTCCAACACATCTACTTTTGCTGCAAATAACAACTACCAGATCAATTTTCCTAAAGCACTCTGTAAAAAATGTCATCAGTTATCCTTTCAGTCCCACTGAAAAAAGCTTAAATTCCTTAACCCTGCACTTAAAGTCATGAACAATTTGGCTCATTTAATAGTACTCTCAAGATGTGTTTTGACCCACGTTACTCAGGAATACGCTTGTTTTTCCTCTAAATACACCTTGATCTATTTACTTCCATACTTTTTTCTCATACTATTTTCTCTCCCCACTGAAATCCTATCCACACTTCAAATTCCTCTATGGCTTGTAATAATTTGCAATAGACAACTAGAGTAATGTTAATAGATATTGCTTGTGATCCTGATTTTGAATTTCTATTAGGACTCAACAAAGTACCATATGTACTACTGTAGGTATTAAATAAAGACTATAGACTGAATAACCAACAAGACAATATTTCATACAAATATGTTATCTGTTCTATAAGAGTTGAAAGAACTCCAGAAGAGAAAGTAAAATGAACAAAGAAATTGAGAATTTCTCTATAAGGCCAGACTGGAAAAACTATGATGGTTCAATCAGAAAAAAAGAAAAGGAATAAAGAAGATACCTCACTGAAATTTTTAAAACCTTAATTTCATTAAACCCCAAATGAATAAAAGAAATATCACTTTATAGAGCTTGTGTAGATTAAAAGTAAATATTATCCTGAAGAGTTGATATAGGTTTAAAGTATAAAAGGTGTCAAATAGAATTCAGTTTAATTCATAAATGATAGCTATATGAAACATTCAAGACTGCTTAATGGTATTTGAAATATAATTCTTATCTTCAAAGTAATAAAAATATAATTCTTCTAAGGGTAATATGTCATGCTCTCCCAAAAAATAGCCATGATGCCCTCAAATACTAGAAAAATATACTAATGCAAAAGAAAATATATTAACAAGATTAGATTGTTTTGTATAAATTTACCCTATTATTAGAAAAACCATATAGTGAACACTGATAATTCATATATGTCATTTAATAAGCTCCACTGTTTCTTTTGTTGTTTTCTTATTCCTCACCAGAGGATATTTTTCCTTTGTTTTTTAGAAAGGGTGGAAGAGAGAGGGAAAGACAGAGAGAAATATCGATGTGAGAGAAACACATTGATTAGTTGCCGCCTATACAAGCCCGGACCAGGGCCCAGGCCGGGGAGGAGCTTGCAATAGAGGTGTGTGCTCTTGACCGGAATTGAACCCTAGACCCTTCAGTCTGCAGGCCGACACTCTATCCACTTAGCCACACGGGCTATGGCAAGCCTCATTGTTTCTAAAAAATAATTCATGTAGCCCAGCTGGTGTGGCTCAGTGGTAGAGTGTCGACCTATGAAACAGGAGGTCACAGTTCGATCCCAGGTGCAGAAAGGCAGCCAATCAATAATTTTCTTTCATCATTGATGTTTCTTTCTCTCCATCTCCCTTCCTCTTTGAAATCAATAAAAATATATTTTAAATAATAATAATTCATATAAACAAGACCAGAAAGTCTTTTCTACCTTAAATCTCTAGACTGACAACATTGAATATAACTAAAACCATGCAAGTCAACTCCTAAAAGATTGAAAGCAAACCATCAAAATTATTGTGGAAGCCTTCACTTAAGTTCCAAATTATGTCTCCAAGACAAATCTTTATGTTACATTATGTTTAGAGTCCAAAGAGAAACTCCTTATATTTATGATTCTGTACCCAGATGCTAATAATAAAAACATAAGCATAGTATTAGATTCTAAAGAAAACAGATGACTGTTTTTCCATTACTACATAACAAACAATACAGTATCTAAAGCAACTAATAGCTTATCATAGCACTTTGAACATCTTTCTGATTCCTGTAAACTAGCCACACATTTAACTGATAATAGTAAAACTAGTATGAAAAACAACTAAATGGTTACTATTACAAAGTCACAGTTTCTCTGGTACTTACTAGTGTTGGAGAATTCTGATCTGGCCAAAAAGACTCTGGAACAGGCCAATGACCTATAGGAACCCCAGTTTTGGGATTTGGCCTGACATATATGAGTTTGTGACAGCTATGCCAAGGCTGAGATCCAAAAGGCCTTGATATATCTGGCTGCCCATCTATAGGAAAGAAATTGACACAAAAAAAAGCATCTATCATTAAGGGGGAAAAATATCAAAAAGTTCAATTATATCTCTTATTACTTAATAAAAATGTCCCAATACTTGTTCAATTCTGAATTTGCCTAGTTTTCTTAAATGGTACAATACTATCACAACTGCTTAACATTTATATGAGATTAAAATTTACTAGAGAGTAAAGTCTGCTAATGCCAACTATGAGTTCAGCAGTTGAAAGGAGGGCTCACAGTATCATTTGCTTGCCCAATCAGAATATGTAAAACATACTTCATGGTAAATAGTTATTTAATGAATGATATGTTTCCCCCACCAGATGATAAAGGCAAACACTCAATATCTTCAACATTGTGGTTGGCTTAGGAAATACTAGATAAGTATTGCTAAAAAAGTAATCATTTTAACTAAAGCCTTATAACTAAAGAAAAACTTAATATGCAAATCCAGATTTGAAATACCTACCTTTAATCTGAAATAATTCTACCAAAATAGCAACTCTCTTCAACTAAACATTTATTTAGTGCCTAACTTTAAGCCAAGTACTAAAATATAAAAATAAATACATTCCATGCCTAACAACTCAATTAAAAATTTAAAAAACAGAAACAATGATACAATTTATATAATCTTAACTGTCTTCTGCTCCTTTCCTATAATCCCCCTCTCTGAGGATAACCATTTTTTCATCTCTATGACCTTTCTCTTCTCCCACTCTGTGGATCACCTCTGCCAAGTGTCGTTAATGACTTTCTAATTCTTGTTATAAGCTCCACTGTATAATGCAGAGGGTCCAGATGTAATAGTTGTCCACTGGTTCTAAGGTAACTCCTTATACCTTTTAATATAAATAGTTCATGATCATAGAATATTGGAATAAAGCTAGGTGGAGCTTAGCTGGAGTTAAATAATCCAGTTTAATGGTAAAGGCTGGTTCCTCGTGTTTGGAACCACATAAATCATTTGGTTCTGGCCAGTCTGATCCTTAGAAAAAATAGTGCTAAGGAATTAAACAAACACCTAGAGTTCACTCCTATGAATTAAGGGACATGGGAGAAGCATATATACAGGAGAGAGACAACATTATAATACTAACAAGGAATATGAGGTTGCTTAAAAAGGTCTATGGCTCTTATTTTTCAATTGTAGATGAATAATTGATACAGCAAGTTTAGAATGTCTATAAGAAAAGTGTGATAATACCTTCTACAGGGGAAGGATCTGGTCCTGCTTTTTCAAAGTTTATTACCACTCCACTTTGCACTTTCTGCACCAAGGACTCCAGACACTGATTAAGCATTCTTGGAGAACATACAGAGTAAGAGCGACCTGAGATTTTTTAAAAAAAGTAAAATAAAGTGAACTAGTCAGTTGTAGAAAATCCTACCTTTAGTAAGAAAGAATAATAGTGGATTTTCTGACAGTATATTGGTTAACAAAAGTTCAATGGTAAAGCTTGACTTATTTCATTATCTTATGCAAGAATGAACAAAATAGAAATTTTCAATAAACCAACAATTCCATGTCGTGAGAGTCTATAAATTTTTTCCTTCCAACAATGGGTACATGGAAAATAGAAATCTTGTTCTAAACAAACCACAATAAAAATGTCATATTTTACTTATATATGATATAAAGTGTGATTTCAAAAATATAGACATAAAAAACTATCTCCAACTGTTACCCAATACAATTAATTTATCTTTACTATACTAGTACATATACAACAGCTAGGATCTAGCTCCCCCAAAACCTTACTCCTGCTTAACAAGTATTATCAATAAAATTAATGCTAAGCACATAGGAGATCACGTATTTAATTGATCTGCTGACAGTTATTGCTTATTTTAAATATTTTCATTTTAATATACAGATGATAGCATGTGCTTTTCTAAATTTCATTTGGCTTATATGCTTGAAAATTACCTATCTTAAATAAATTTCCCTTTTGAATATTTTAAATCTACAGGATTTTTAGTTCAGAAGCATTGAAATGCTAGTAATTAAGAAGAAAATACTAATAAAAGGATCCCTTAAACAGAAATTTTCAATATATCTAGACCTGTGCTATCCCATATGTGGTCACTGGCCACACATGGCTACTGAAAACTAAAAATATGGCTAGTCCAAACTGAGATGTACATTAAGTTTAAAATATACACCTGATTTTGTAGTCTTAATATGAAAATTACATAAAATGTCTCAACAATCTTAAATATAGATTTCACATTAAAATAATATTTTATATATATCAAGATATTATTAAAATTAATTTCACCTGTTTCTCTTTAAAATGACTACTATAAAATTTATAATTACATATTTAACTTGAACCATACTTCTATTACATGTGTTAAAATAGACCAATACTGAAAAGCTTAACAACTAAAACAATCTTTAAACATCTTACAACATAATTTGCAATGAGCTTAATATGGAATTTTACAAATTCAACAATTCAATCAAACATGACTATATCATTGTATCTGACATACCAAATTACCCATATCAATTTATATTTAACATGTGATTTGCTAAAGGCTATTCAGAAAAGAAAACATTAGGCAGCAGTGTGGTTCAAATCCTCAGAGTCAGCTTTACTTAGAAAGCAAGTATCATATAACAAGTAACTTATCATTATATGATAATGATAGCTGGAATCATAAAAATACCTACCAATTACAGAGTGTCTATGTGCCTGGCACCATTCTAATAATCATATTAATTTATTTAATCCTAAGCAACAATGATTGGGCTAGGCTACTTTCTCCCAATAAGAAATAAGAAAACTAAAAGCACGAAGAGGTTAACTAATTTATCCAAGTTAGTACACTAGTACAGCTAAGATTCAAATCCTTAGAGTATTAGAAACTTTAATCTGGGTATACTTTGTTCCCCGGAAATCATGATGTTAATTTGAAATCAATATTGTTTTAAATGTCTATATGGAGTCATACTTAACTGAAAGAATTAGTAAATTATTTTTTCTCAGGCAATTCAAAAATGTACATAAAACAATACATTAAAAGGCTGACCATCTTAACACACAAAGTATGTAGAAGACTATATGAAGGTTGAATATCTTGTTTCATGAAACTTAAGCATATTCCTAAGATGTCATTAAAAAACAAAAGTTTTTAAGTGTGAAATTGTGGGAATTCTCTCTACTCCTCTAACCTGTGTCATCAATTAACTGATTAGGAAAATGTAAGTAAATGAGTTATGATCCTAGTATGAAATAAAATTACTAACAAAGATGTTTAACAAAAATTAGAGAAAAAGTAAACTTGAGTGTGAATAAACTTGAGTCACTTGGCAAATAACAAAAATCCATTATTTTTTTTTTTTAAAGTTAAAGAGAAATTTTGCCATTTTCACAAAGTGAGCCTATATCTTACAGAATGTTTCTCTTATTTTCTGTGTAAAAACTCACCCCTTGGAATGTAAGATAGTTTGAAGCATAAAGTTTCTAGGATCACTCGTTACATTTGTGCAGAAAACACACACCTTCAAGCCAAAAAGCTGGCTCACTTGTGGTTATGTAGAATCCACCAAAATTAAAATAAAAATCTAAATACAGGAGCCCGAAGACAGTAAAGTGAAAAAAAAAAAATACAACTTTCCCACAGAAGTCTACTAGACAGCATTTTAGTATAACAGAGAAACAAAAGAAACATTTCTAAGTTGGGCAACAGTCCTTAACAGAGGCTACGTTAAACTAATTTACTCTAGAAAATCGTCTTACAATTTTTATGAAATGCTTTTGATTCTCGATACTTCCACTGACATATCTATTAGGCATTTTTTTTATTTGAAATCATCCCCCTGCCTCCCCGACACCTGATTTTCCCCAGTGTACCCATACAAGTCCATTCACTTCCCCTTGTTCAGGCCAAAATGGATAATTTAGGAATCATCCTTGATTCCTTCTTCCCTCATTGTCCTTATCCTTGGTTCTCCTTTGCATCAGATCTCCTTACCACCTCCAAACCTAGCAATTTAAACCAAAGTACAGTCATCTCTTACTAGTCCATACTTCAATTCTTGCCACTTTACAGTATATTTTCATTTAGGAACTGAAGTGATCTTTCAGAAATAGAAATCAGATGTCACCTCCTATAAAAAGCCCTGTAATGGCTTCTCATTGCAGTAGGAAAATAGAAAATATTTATTATGACTTAAAAGGATATTCAATATTTGGTCCTTGCTACGTCTCTACACCTGTTACTCTCTACTTCCTCCCATGTAAGCTCTAGTCACATCATCCTTCCTGTTGTTCCGAAAATACAGAGCATGCACCTTCCCTTACTATTTCTTCTGCCTAGATCTTTCTTTACCTCATTATTCAGATCTCTACTCGTATGTTACACTTGTGATCATTTCTCAACATATACAAATATTAACTCACGTTTACAACTGAAATAACATAATGTTGTATGTCAATTACACCTTAATTGAAAAAAAGAGGGTGGATGAACATGCTGTAACAATAGTTTTAGCCAGATTAATATTTTTAAGACACACCAGGGCTGATTTAATTTCTATTCAAACAAGTGACATTAACTTCAAGGTTAGAGATATGCAAATGTAACTTATTTTTAAAACTGTTGTTTTGTTTACTTCTTTACACAAGATAACAATCTCCAAGGATAAGCAATATTTCAAACTGATTCAAACGGGAGTAAGCATATTCTTTAGGTATATGGTTTAAAAAAAGTGGGGGCACCTCCTCAGATTTCCCAAGAATATTCACTGTCTTTCTCAAGTTATTCTCTAAACCAGCCGTGGGCAAACTATGGCCCGCGGGCCGGATCCGGCCCGTTTGAAATGAATAAAACTAAAAAAAAAAAGACCGTACCCTTTTATGTAATGATGTTTACTTTGAATTTATATTAGTTCACACAAACACTCCATCCATGCTTTTGTTCCGGCCCTCTGGTCCAGTTTAAGAACCCATTGTGGCCCTCGAGTCAAAAAGTTTGCCCACCCCTGCTCTAAACTCTTACCCTATTTTTTTCTTCACAATAAGTAGCACTCCCTACAATAATATTTATTCATTTTACACGCTTTCATGTCAGACAGTCCCAAAATGTAAGCTTTCGGACTATTGTTCCTGCTGTATTCCCAGCATCAAGAATAGTTATTTGGCCCTAGCTGATTTGGCTCAGTGGATAGAGCATCGGTCTGCAGACTGAAAGGTCCCAGGTTTGATTCCAGACAAGGGCATGTGCCCAGGTTGCTGGCTTGATCCCCAGTAGGAGGCGTGCAGGAGGCAGCCAATCAATGATTTTTTCTCATCATTGATGTTTCTATCTCTCTCTCCATCTCCTTTCCTCTCTGAAATCAGTAAAAATATATGAAAAAAAGTAAAGACTCTGTCATGCAAAAAATAAGATATAAAAATAGCCAATATACATCTGAAAAGATGCTCAGCATCGTTAGTCATTAGGAAATAAACATCAAAACCATGATGAGCTATCACTTCACAATCACTAACATTACCCCCTATCCCTCACCCCCCTGTTGTCTGTGTCCATTGGTTAGGCCTATAATCTTGCATATAAGTCCTTTGGTTGATCTTTCTCCCTTTCCCCCACCCTTTCCTACTTTCCCTCTGAGGTTTGACGGTCTCATCGATGCTTCTCTGTCTCTGATCTGTTTTTGTTCATCAGTTTATGTTGTTCATTATATTCCACAAATGAGTGAGATCATGTGGTATTTATCTTTCTCTGACTGGCTTATTTCACTTAGCATAATGCTCTCCAGTTCCATCCATGCTGTTGCAAATGGTAAGAAATACTTCTTTTTTACCGCAGTGTAGTATTCCATTGTGTAGATGTACCACAGTTTTTTAATCCACTCATCTACTGATGGGCACTTAGGCTGTTTCCAAATCTTAGCTATGGTGAATTGTGCTGCTATGAACATAGGGGTGCATATATCCTTTCTAATTGGTGTTTCTAGTTTCTTGAGAATAGTTATTTGGCATAGAGTGGGTGCTCATTAATTACGTGGTAGTTAAAGAAAAATGCTTACAATGACAATTATAATTTTTTTTAAAAAGCAAACATAAAAATATAACAAAATATTAATCATTATTTTGGCAACGCAGGCAAATTTCTTTCCAATTTTTTCCTCAGTGAACATGAATTATTCTACAATGGGAAAAATAAATGTATACATGCTACTCATACCATTAAGTCTTTAAAAATAAACAAGAAAAAGTGCACAAGAATTAGTATTGATTACATATTACATAGTGTAATACCAATGAATATTAGCTTTTCTGTTCTTTCTACCTTTCTGATATTTTAATCCTCAAAACTTTCTTTAGTGAAAAATAAATACAAAAAACGTATTATTGAGATACTAGAGACCTGGTGCACAAATTCGTGCACCGGTGGGGTCCCTCAGCCTGGCCTGCACCCTCTTGCAATCTGGGACCCCTTGGGGTTTGCCGGACTGCCGGCTTTGGCCCAATTTGGGGGGCTGAGCCAAAATCGGCAGTCTGACATCCCCTGAGAGATGTAGTAGTGCACAAAGTGGCAGGCAGCCGGGGAGGAGCCCGAGCCAGGCACCGAGTCGCTCCCGCTCATCCTGGCCCTGCTGAGCCTGCCGCCGCTGCACTGACCACCAGGGGCAGCTCCTGCATTGAGCATCTGCCTCCTGGTGGTCAGTGTGTGTCATAGTGACCAGTCGAATGGTTGACTGGTTGCTTAGATTTTTATATACATAGATATGAAAAGCATTTGAGCCACTTCCCACTATTGCTAGCAAGAGCATGAAAAGAGGGAAATAAAATAGTACTTCAGGATGTATATTTGGGAAAAGCTTCCTAATTTCTTAACCAACTAAGGTTTCTGGGTCATCAAGAGGTATTACCAAGGGTGACTTCGGAATCTTCTCCTCTGGAGATGTTCCTTTCAAAGAATAAACAACATAACTTTAGTATATTACTGCCCAAAGGCAAGGACATTAACTACTACATGAGGTATTAGGTTCTTTTCAGACCCTTTCTGATTATACCACTCACTTCATTTCACACTCTGAATATTCTTGATGCTAGAAGTCAAAGTTACAGTACATGTAGTCCCATAACTTTACCATAATTCAAAGTTCAAACTAAGTAATTTATAGTAAGGAATTTCCAAAGTGAGAATGTTTAAATTACAGCCTCAATGCCTTTCTTCAATCTGTTAAGTAAAAAACCTAGAGTTAAAAAAAAATCAAATCAGGATTTTAGCAAGGCTGAAAACTAGTATTTCCTGAATACAAATGTGCATCTACCCACAGAAACAATTAGGGCTGTCAATGAAAAATATTATCCATGCACAGAGAATTGTTAACAGTGATTCTTCAAATTTAGATGACAGATAGGTTTCCCTTTAAATTGTGTACACACATCTTTTTCTCTTTTGTAAATTAAATTATACGAGAGTTCACGAAAAAGTACTTCTATTAAATGAGAACATTTAATAATAGAATAACAATTTCCCAACCAATCTACTTCACATACCCTTTATGTTTGTGAATTTTGCAGATGTCCAACACCCGTGGAATTTTAGAAGGCACCTAAAGTATCAATTAGACCTTATAATTTTCTTTAACTTATTATATAGCTGGCTATGAAGGAATCTCAGTAAAGTACCACCAACTGTGTCTAGAGACTATGCCACAGGTCCCTGACACAGGTGAAATAGTGGTATGCCAGACTTGGACATTTTACCGTTAAATTCCTTCAATAATAACTAAAATGCTCTGTGAAAGAAAGACTGCTATGTCTGTCATATTCACTACTGAAGTCATAGAACAGTGCTTGGTACACACTAGGTACTCAATACATACCTATATGAATTAATCCACCTATTAGCCAATTCCACAATAAAGAAGTCCTGAGTTTATTACGTATTCTGTTTCAAGAGTTTTATTAATGTTAACTTAGCATATTGACTACCTGGACTAGCTGGGTATGATCTTACTACCTGTGTTTCCTCTAACACATCTAGCTTCCTCTTTGCCTCTGGGGAAAACTGCATTTAACCAGGCTTTAATCATTACATGCATAACAGATACTGATATGATTCTCAAAACATTTTTCACAGAAAATAATTCCATGACATTTGTAAATCATTGGCAATCTTTGTAGATAAGAAAATAAGTTTAACAACTTCAAATACCAGCACTTTCTATATGGGCAGAAAAAATTACCATTCATTATTAGATCCAAAAGTATTCATATCCTATTCAAATCAAAGCACAGACCTTCATCAATATAGTTTTAAAAACATATATGACTACTAATTACTAATATTATAACTTGTTAGACAAAAACAAACATGGAGTTTTTGAAATGTACATTTTAAAACATTCAGGTAAACTCTGCTTTAAGTCACTAAATTACTGCCAGCAAAAAACTTACCGCCTGTCACTTCACACATTGGTGTGATTGCAGAGTCATCTAAAGGCACACCTGTCAACTGTTCTGATTCTACTGACATGGTGCCAGGCAACCGCAACACTAATGCAAAGAGTCTCTGATCCCAACGAAAAGGTTCCTTGGTCAATTCACTTCCAGGCAAAGGAGAATTAAGAGGTAAATGGAGCTGAAAGTAAGGGGGGGAAAAAAACAATAAGATTTCCACACGCTACTTTTCCCAAAAGGCCACATTAATTACACTTGTATTAAAACTACATCATGAGTGTCCTATCACTCAAAAAACAAGCCCAAAAGCATTTGCAGATATAACTAAAATAGCACATGAGATACTATTACTTCAATTTTCTTAAGCTCTTCTCTAAAGATCTCAATTGAAAGAATCTATAACTGTAATGTTTTTCAGATTTTAATTCAACTATCCACCAAGTGCTGGACTGTTTTCAAATAATCATTTCATCATCAAAACCACCCTTTTTATTCCTATTTTCTAGATTAAAAAAAAAATGGGTCTCAGAGAAAATAAATGATTTTGGCCTCCTGGGTATGAGTCTGTACTTTTTCTATTACACTGCAGCAGTCCTAAACATCTCCACAGTTAATTATTTAAATATGCTTCACTTTATACATAACATACATTTCCAAAGCATTTGCAAGAAAGTAAATTTTGTCACTCTAATTGCATATTAAATGTTATTAAAGGTAATGATTCTTATCACATCTGAGTAAAAACAGAGGGTTTGGGGGTTGTTTGCATCTGTTTTTTCCCCCATCACCATTTACCCCCATACCCTCTTTCCATGTTTTTTTTTTTATGTCTTTCCTCTTCCCCAATAGACCTGCTAAATCATAATCTAAGATTCTTAAGAATCCTGAAAAGCTTTAAAGTGATTCTAATGGGCACCTCTGTACCAACAGAGTAACAAGACAATCCACACATCAATCTTAGCATAACTAAATGGAGAAAACCAGACAGTATGTGTCTCAGAGTATAATGCAATAGGATATAAAACATTAAAAGGAAAGAAAAAGGGAAAGGGAAAGGAAAGAGAAGGTTGAACCTGCATCTAGTCAAGTCCTAACTACCAGTTTACCGGAATACTGGGGATTATAGGAGGATCAAGTTTAACACCACCACACCTCAGCAATCAGGCAAATCCAGAATGTGAGATGTTCACAGGACAGATGACCTGGTTTCTCCAATAAATTAATGGCATGAAAATGTAGAGTGGGAAGTGAGGAAGGTTGATGGAATTGTTATAGAATAAAAGACAAAGAAAATCAAAAGGAAAGGTTTTTGTAAAAATCGGGAAATTTTGAAATATGTTATTAGAATTATAAACAACTAGAGGCCCGGTACATGAAAATTCATGCATTGGAGGGGAGGTCCCTCAGCCCGGCCTGCCTCCTCTCACAGTCGGGAGCCCTCAGCGGCAGGAGGTGACCCAGAGATCAGGGGAAGGTGACGCCCCATCACATCTCTGCTGCTGCCACTGCCGGCAGCGCAAGCCTCGACAGGCCCTGGTTACCTGAGCCTCGGGTGGCCCTTGGTGGCTGGGCAGCCACCAACTGAGGCTTGCCTGTGCATCGGGCCGGCCCTGGGCGGCTGAGGGGACTGGGAGACTCCAGAGGCAGATGCGTGGAGCAGCTGGGCCTGCCTGGGGGCAGGCCCGGCCTTGCTGCACGCCTGCCGCCCCGGCAGGGCTGAGGGGACTGGGTGCCGCCATCTTGTGGCTGTGGGTGCCACCATCTTTGAGGGTGTGGCAGTCAATTAGCATATTCCCTCCTTATTGGATATGGGCGTGGCCATCTTTGAGGGCGGGGCAGTCTATTAGAATATTCCCTCCTTATTGGTTGTGGGCGCCACCATCTTTGCTATGGCATGAGGGTCAATTAGCATACTCCCTCTTTATTAGGTAGGATATTTTAAGTGTGATGATGATATGGTGCTTAGGAAAACAAAAGTCCGTATTACTTATAAAAATAAAGACCAGACTCAGTATACTGGGGAACTTATTTATACAATATTGGCGTTTTCTTCAAACTATAGAAGGCACTTACTTCCAAATTACTTCCAAATTAATTATCAAAGTTTATGCTACTTTATTCATAAAGACAAACTTGCATTGCTTACAGCCTTTCTATTTCTCATCTCAAGGAAGACTTCTGAACTTAATTAATTATGGATTGAAGTCATTCTGCACCAACTTAAAACTCAAGTTTCTTCATTGATTTACATCAAACCATTAAAAGAAAATCAGATTCTATTCTAAGGAAAGGTCCTAGTAAAGCTCTGCAAATCTGACACCTCTCTCCAAAAGATTCATGCCAAGAGAATATGATTCTTTTATCAAGATCAGCCAAGATTTTGTGACCATGGCCAGGAGTCATGAGCTCTTCCTCTGGCACTGACCCTACTTAAAGCAGAATTCAGAGGAGATAAGGAAGGAATGTTGGAAGATAACTGGCAAAGATATTCTCTGAGGAAGGTTCTCTAACCTCAAAGACTCTGTAACACTTGTAAAACAGCGCAGGAACTCCAAGCTCTTACTGCTGTTACCTCATCCTGCCAGAAGATAAATAAGAAAGCCTTTTACTCCAGACTAACCACCCTTGTACTATGGAAGTACAACTACTGGGTGCTTGGTCCTTTTCTCTTTAAGATCACAGAAACATCAAAGCACCAGTGACACTGGCAGAAAAGGGTTTCAACTGTTAATGCAATGCTCTGAGATGTAATAGATACGTGGATCTATCTCAAGAATCCAGTGGATAACAGCACTGCATAGACCTCAATATAAGTGGTGAATAGAATAATGAGACCCCCATACTATAAACACATACAAACAACTAATCAGATAATCTGACATGCATACACACACAAAACTAATCAGATAATGATGAACATCTACAAAGGAGACAATATATAATGAAATATATAATGGCTGTATAATGAAAGATCTAGAATGTATTTCAATTAAAACAAACAAAAAACCAAAAAAGGTGACAAGCATATTTTACACATTTTATAAACCTGTCAAATTTTAGGCATTTGGGTTGTTTCTAGTTTGGGTATATTATGAATAACAAAACCATGAAATTACAGTACATGTCTTTATGAAAAACATACATATGCATTTCTGCTGGATGTGCACCTAGAAGCATTATTGCTGGGTTAAGAGTATATGAATATACTTAGTTTTATTACATACTGCCAGTTTTCCAACATGGTTATACCAATTTATACTCCAACCAGCAGTGACCAAGAATACCAGTTGTTCCATATCTCTTTCACCAACACTTAGTTTGGCTGTCTTTTTCATTTCAGCCATTTTGATGTGTGTGTAGTGGAATCTTAGTGGGATGTGAATTTCCCTGAAATCTATAGAGGATGAACACCTTTCATTAATTTCTTGGCCATTTTGCTATGCTCTTTCATCAAGTGCCTATTAATTTCTGCCTACTTTTTAAAAACTGAGTTATCGTTTTCTTATTGATTTGAAGGATTATTAACATACTAGAGGCCAGGTGCACAAATTCATGCACAGGTGGGGTCCCAAGGGGGGAGGGGGCCTGGGATGTGATAGGCCCTTCAGTTGGGCAGTGGGACACCCCTGTCAGCCCGGGATCTGGATCCATCCTAATGACATTCGTGCTGGTTGTCAGGAGCCGCCAGGCGGCAGCTTTTATGTTGTTGCTTTCTTGCAGAGCGTCTAGGGAGGGGAAATGGTCGCGGTGCCCAAGGCCAACTTCCAGGAGGCCGGCAGCACTGTCAGGATCATGCCAGCAGAGCTGGTCCGTCAGTGCCTGGACCGTTCTCCGGAGATTGGACCTGCAGGACTACTGAGGGAGTGAGTGGCTGCAGCTGGGCTGGTGGGCTACCAGGATGGGTTGGTTAGCTGAGTGGCGCTCCCGCTGTGGGAGCACACGGACAACCGGGGGCAGCTCCTGCATTGAGCGTCTGCCCCTTGGTGTTCAGTGCGCGTCATAGCAACCGGTCGTTCCATCACTTAGGCTTTTATATATATAGATTCTAGATGAGTCCTTTGTTGGATATAGGCATTACAAATATCTTCTCCCACAATGTGACCTCTTTCATTATTTCAGTGGTATTTTTTGATAAACAGAATTTGTTATATTTTTCCTTTCATGGTTAGTACAATACTTTTGTGTCCTCTACAATCATGAAAATGTCTACTTTCTTCTAAAAGCTTTATTATTTTCTCACATTTAAACCTGAAATGTATTCAGAATTGGGTTTACTATATGATATGAGGTAGGGGTAAAGGTAGATTTTTTTTCTCTCTAATGAATATCCAATTCACATAGCCCCATTTTTGGTTTTTGTTTTAATCCTCACCTGAGGATGTGTTTGTACTGAATTTAGAAAAAGAGAAATAGAGAGGGAGGGAGGGAGTGGGGAGGAAAGGGAGTGGAGAAGGAGGGGGTAGAAAAAGATGGAAAGGGAAGGGGAGAAAGAGACAGAGGGGGAGGGAGAGGGAGAGAAACATCGAGCAGTTGCCTCCTGTATGCACCCCAACTGGGGGATCAAATCTCTTGAACTACACTTCAACTAACTGAGCAGATGTAGCCCTGTTATTTTAAAAGACCATGTTTTCTCTGCTGCTCTGGAACGTCACATAATCTTCAACTGGTTGACTATACAAATGTGAGTTTATTTCTGGATCCAAACAAATATGAGATGAAAAAGAAGGCACAAGGCAAAATGGTACACAGACTAGCATCCATAGGTACTGTTAAATAATTATTAAGTATAGTCTTATATATGTACAATATATACATGTAGTGAAACATAAACTGGAAGGCTACACACCAAATTCAAGGTAATTGTTGCTTCTGGGATGGGGAAGAGGGACAGAGTAAAACCGAGTAGAGGAACAAAGGAAACTACACCTTCACTATCTGCAATGTTCTGTTTCATTTAAATTTTTAAAAATCTGTAACATACAATTAATTGTATGTCAGGCAAATATGCAGTAATTTTTATCAATTATTCTTATCCAAAATAGTATTAATATGGAAAAAAACTGTAAAAAAGCCAGTAAATTATTCAAGTAGTTGAATAATCTATACCTCTTTTATGACAGTGTCATTATTTTATACAAAACCCAAGAAAACTTCATACACATCTCAACTCAATAAAGGGGG